TGAAGTTTAAGCAAGAATTTCTAATTCAACATGTCAATCCTTACCAGTGGTGACTTATAATAATAGCGAAGAATGTTAATAAAGTCGGAAATTGTCAGCATTCCTACAAAGGAAAATCAAACAAAGGAAAATCATCATTATCATCATCTTCAAATTTATAGACCATAAGCTGGTGACCACGTGTCTTGACAAATGTTTCTTTGCCTTGCCTTTGTGTGGTTTCAAATTTCCCTTCTAGACAGGTGGGACTACTTTGGAGTTAATCTGCTGATTTCCAGCTTGTCAGATAGCAGTGTTGCTTGCAGGAGTTTCGTTAACATTTTCAGCAGCCCAGGGCAATTGTTTTTGTATGGGCTGGCAAGACGTTTTGAACTGAACTTCTTTAAAAGAAAAACGTTCCTCTAAATCAGGGCAAATCAGGTGGGTAAAATCATCCTCACATCCAGTCAATTTGTCCTGGGCCTAGCCCTTAATGAAACCCCTGGCTACTTGGCTCATTAACACACTAAAAATTTCCTATACCCTCCTTCTAAATGATTCCCCCTACCCCTCAACTGATCTTGAAAAGAAAAAACAAACAAACAAACAATCACTTGGATACACACTGTGTGATTGCTTACCAACAAAAGTGTGTTTGTCACTGTCCCAAAGAGGAGCTGATCTCACACCTAAAATGAGAATAGCAAAAACAAAAAAATTAAGGTAATAAAAAAGAAACGACAACATGAAAATAGCTTGGACATAAAGGGAAACCTTTTATGCAGTATTTGCCCCATAACCATAAGCATTTTATTTTCTGATTAAGCTACAAAAACATCGGTTCTGAATTTTTAAAGGGCATGGGATGATCAACTGTTGTAATGAATTTCAGACCAGTGTATCACAATAAAACTATTCACATACTGAAATCAGTTCTTAAACAAATATAAGGAGCCTAGTAGGGGATATTTTCAAGAGAACATTCGGTTTTTAACCTATACAGTGTAACGTCTGGTACTCACCATTTGCAACCAGCGCAAAAAATGCTTTTTTCACCTACAATGAGAAATTATTATTAATTCATTGCCAACACTTACTCAGTTTTTATTATAGACACATGAAGTACACTGTGCCAATCAGTAAAATTATTATTTCAGGTACCCATGGCAAAACATAGATATAAGAGGCATTACTTACCCTAAGCTTAGTATCAAATACCACAATCTTGGAGCTTTTTGGCATGATGTCATAGCATGTTCTGGACTTAAGGAAGTTAGTATACATATAGTGCTCCCCCAAATCTGTTGGAGGAGAGGAACATTAAATAAATCCAGTGATGAAATGAAAATCCTCTGAAATCATTCCTAAAGGGAATGGTCAAAGTTTACCTGTCATCGCATCATCCAGAAGCATATCATCACTATCTGATCCTCGTGCCTACAGTGATATTAGAAAAAGTAATTGTTAGTAATAGTTAATAGCACCAGGCAAGGTTTCGATATCTATTGCAGTGTTCTGAAGGAAACCTTACAGTATATGGCACATTTTGAAAAAAAAAAACATAATTTCCTGTATACTTTCACTAGGTATTTTCTACCTTAAAAACTACAATTGCGATTTGATTCCAATTTGTAAGTAATTTAGAACATCTTTTCAAAAACAAATGACTTAAGGTATTGTGCAGCAGGGCTGTCAATGAGGGCCATAACGTTTAGCATCTGTTACAGCTGAGCATGCTTAATGGGCCCTTGATGGTGCAGGTGAACTTGCCTGTAGTTGATACAATTCACCTAAGAGGTAACATGTTTGTTAAGGGTATGAAGATCAAGGCTACAGATGAATCAAAACTTAATGACAGCCCTGGTGCAGTACATAACTCCTTTAAGAAATTTGTGAGTGATTCTCTAAATTAGACTGTACTTTATTTAGCTGTGATATAACCACAAACAATCATTAACAGAGTCAAGTCTTCATCAGCCAAAGTGTCTCATATCCTGGTTCCAGTAGCATTAAGCAACCAGTAGCATTAAGCAACAACGCATCTTCCTAATCCCGTGTTACTCCTCAGCATTACCCCTCACCTAAGTAGAGAGGCACTGTGGGAGTTAAGCGTCTTGCCCAATAACACAACACAATGGTGCCCGCCAGGACTTACACTCCGACACTCTGACCGCTCAATTGACTACATCTTCCAACATACTTAATAAATAAAATGCTAATACTTACATGTGGAAGGGAGGCGTAGTGGCCTCATGGTTAGTGCGCTTGTCTCTGGATCCAGTAGTCCAGGTTCAAACCCTGGTGGGGGACATTGTGTTGTGTTCTTGGGGAAGACACTTTACTCTCACAGTGCCTCTCTCAAGCCAGGTGTATAAATGGGTACNCACTTGGCTTGTATGCAAACTTTACCCTCCTTATATGTACAACAACACAGTGTCTAGTACCATGAAAATAAACTTACAAAGACCCTTTCATTTCCTCTTGGTTCATCATCAGCAATGCCTTCATCAGATGTCACCTCTCCAATGGTCTGCCGCAGCTCCATAAACTTCTTTCCAGGTGAACATGACAAGTCTTGGATTTCAAATGGTTCACTCTCCATCTGCTCTTCCCCTGAAACTACATTTCTTGGCACTGAGCTACTACGTGCAAAACTCCCAGTAGGAGAATCTGAATTATAATCTGGCTGAGATGAGCTGCGTGAACGCTGCATTTGTTGTAAATACTGTTCAACTTCACTTGTGTCACTTTTTCTGTTCCATTCCAAGACCCACTCCCTAGATGACTGTTGCTCCTGTGGTAAGCCATCAGCTGTGGATTGCGTATAGTCAATGCATGGCATTGCAAAGGCACTAAGGTCTTCTTTTACATGGAGATTCTGGGAGAGAAAAGTTTAGAGGCACTTTGAACTATCAAACCATCAGGAAAAACAGTAAGCATTGGGGGAAATATAGATTTCAAACTGGTAGTTGCACTCAAAAGAATCATAACACCTTATTCATCAAAGTACCATACAAACACCGCATTATAAGTTGATTCAATTTATTAAAAGTAAAATCCTGATAGCCCCCTGAGAAGCTTAATTAACAGTCAGATTTACATTGTTCCTTAAGGGGGAGGTGCCAATCACCATAACAAATTATATTCGAATTAGGATTAGACAATTAATACCATCCCATAGTCACCTCGTTATCACAGTGTCCCTGGTTTACATGTGTACAACCATCATTATTTTCTTAAATTAACCTGTTCACTACAGCGCTATTGGGTAGTGATAGACATAGCGCTATATAAGTTAAGTATTATAATTATTAATATTATTTCACAGAGTTCACCATGCAAAGTTACATCTCGTAAAAACATTTTAGCAGGAAACAGAGTCATATACTCTCATTTTTCACGTTTAATATTTGTAAAACATTATAATTTGTTCATATGAGTTTAGTTCTGAAGCCATGACAACATTCAGTGTAAAAGCTGAAAAAAATTCTTATCAGTAACGGTACCCACTGCCTTACATTAAACGTACATAAACATGATATATGTTAGGTCTTCATAAAGTGAACACGCTCTAAGTATTATTAGGATTAGGTTTAAACAAATTTTGTCTAACATAGTAGTAGCTGTTTAAAGACAATGATTTTGTTTTGATGAAAAACAATGTGATAACCCCTTCACATCACCATAATTTAAATACCAGTGAATAATTGCTAATAAATACAGATTAAGACAAAATTATTCAATTTGCTATATTTGGCAGTGAGTTATTTTTGAATTTCAATCTATATTGTTATATAATCAAAGCCATTAACTTTACTCAGACCAGGAGAGGAAGCTGCCTGTGGCAGCTTAAACTGTCTACAACTTTTTCAACATTAAAATTAAATGTTAAAGTTGCAAAACTTTGTCGCTTTCCCTATATTTTTTTTCTGAGAACAATTTGCATGACATCATGTCATACTACCCAGAACTTGATATTTCCATGATAACCATATTTTGACAGGACTGTTTTTCGAAATTTGGAATTTCCTTGCTTTTATTAACAAAATTTAATATCATTGTCTGACTATATTACATCATGAACTAACTGTAGTTATGTATATTTTTATGTTTTCAGGACTTTATAGTACTATTTGATTGATTAATTTTAATCACTTTTAGTCATTTTAGGTGGTTTTGAGAAGTTGTGGAAAGATAAAGTAATCCACGATGGTGACCTAAGATGGCGGCTGTTGGACGTGGTAACATAATTACTACAGGAAATGATGTCGTTGTGTTGTGTTGCTCACCTCAAAGGAAACTTTTTCAGATGAACCATACACAAAAGGTTTTGAAACCGTGCAAATTGACCGACTGTGAGAATGGTTTTGCCCACTGGTTACACCATCTAGAGGAAACTTTTCTTGTTAAGAAGTTCAACACAAAACATTTTGCCCTTCTGCTGAAAATGATTTTATGAAACCCCTGCATACACCCTCAGAGTTTCATTGTGGCTACTTATAATAGTTTTTCTTCAAGGTGCAGAGCGGCTGGAATAGCAGATTTCCCTCCCCTCCCAGCATTCACAGAAGACAAAATACATGTAATCTAAATACATGAAAAGCTGGAGCCAAATCAGAGCCATAGAAATCATAAGTGCACAATGTTTTGCTCTTTTTCAGAAGCATTTTCTAGTTTAGAATCACCAGTAAGTCTGTCTTTGTGACTATAGCTATTCCTTGTTTTCACATCCAGTAGCAAACAACCATATTCGTGGTATGGTTAAAAGATTTTGGCATGGAAAAGCTATTCCTCAATGGATTTTTCTTCCTAAATTAGGAAACAATCACTTTTAAACAAGATACATGTATATACACAGTTTGTACATTTAAGTCACCAAGACTTTAAATATTGGTCACTGAGTACTTTGATGACTATAATATAAACTAAACAGCTGTTTTATTTCAAACTCTTCATTGTACTGTGTAATAAAAACTGAAATGCTGTTAAGTTGTTAGGAATCAACAAGTGCTTGTAAATGTAATTCTGTTTTACTTTGGGATTTACTAAGTGCTGTTAAAGAAATTTTTTCAGTTGATTAATAACTATTTTATTTTCTAAACTTCTTTTGACACTCTTGTAAGACTTCATTTAAGAAAGATTAATAAGAGGTTATAGTCACATTAGCAGCTGAGAGAATTAGAGTTTAGAGTATAGCCTATTTGTGATATCATTACAGGTTGTAGAGTTAAAGGTGCTGATAAAAAATATTCAATTAATAGAAGTGCAGAGAAATTACTTTATTTACAGTCGTCGGCATTACATTACGGTGATGTTACTTTAATTCAAATACCGGTATATTACCTCCATTTCAGCACTTCTCCACAATCTATTTCCTAACGAATCCTTGCTCCCAAACTTCTCCTGTGTGCAGCATATATGTATACAGACACAAGAAACTGTTGTTTAAATGCATTCATTTGAACACTTAAATTATATGGACTAGACTATTTCCATTGGTCACAGTAGTCGAGTTATACATTCTATTTCATTTCCTCTATCCACGCTTTAGAACTATAGTCTGGGGCAGATCAAGCTGAAACAACCAGGGCTATGGCAGAAAAATAACACTTTCTACATGTTCATCAATTCCACCCCCAAACTGACCATAGATTTTGTGGGTCAGATGAACTAGAGCCTTCCATAAAACTGTCAACAAAATGCCAATACTGATAAACTTTCTGTTAATGGCAGTGACATAGTATGATCTCTGTAAATGAGTGGAGGCTAGATGTCATAACTTAATTCATGCACATCTCCCAGTAGCAGTGGGCACCCCTAGCATCTAACGTACATGTAAATTCAGATTTTCAGTGAAGTGAGATTCTAATCTAAGACAACCTACTAGATAAAGTGAAACTATTTCCAATTCTTTTTTTGACAGATGAAAAGTGACCTATTATATGTTACATATATTGTGATCTTGATTGATTGGTAAATAAACATTGTTGGCATCTTCTTCAACCAGCTAAAAAACAGTCTTGGCAAAAAAGCCAACAAATTCAGGATAAAACCTTTGATTTTACTTTGAACCCTCATTTATATTTAATAACACAATGAATATTATTGTTCCCCAGTAATTGGACTGAGTTAAGGAAAGGAGTGTAGAGACAATCCCAGGAAACGGCCAACAGCTAGTCTTACTTAATTACAAGTTATGACTAAAATAATTCAGAAACGCTACAAGAAAGCGCACTCCAATTCATACATCTGTAACTTCATAGGAAAACAAAAAGAGCGCAAGCTTTTGAATGCAACATTGGTGCCAACAAATTGAGAGTTTGGGAGAACTTAAAAAAGGCTGTGCCAGCACTCACATGTGACTTGCATCCTCACAGCATTTCTCATTTTCCAAAAATTCTATATTGTGTTTCCTAAAACTCAAACATTCTTCAGTTCCTTGCCCACAGGTGGGGGATTGGGCCAGAACTCAAATAATGAATAAATAGAAACAAGGAGGATGCTCTCTGTTTCTTTGCTAAGATGACATCAAAGCAACTAAACATGTGCAGATCACATGTTTATAAATTATTAAGCAACTGGTTATTAATAAAAACTATAAATGAAGACATAAGATATAAGACCACCTTACAGGTAAATAACATTAATCTTTGCATAAAAAACACAAATAAATCCAATATATAATCTACACTGTGCAGATCACATGTTTATAATTATTAAGCAACTGGTTATCAATAAAAACTATAAATGAAGACATAAGATATAAGACCACCTTACAGGTAAATAACATCAATCTTTGCATAAAAAACACGAATAAATCCAATATATAATCTACACTGTACAGATCACATGTTTATAAATTATTAAGCAACTGATTATTAATAAAAACTATAAATGAAGACATAAGACACACAACCACCTTACAGGTAAATAACATTAATCTTTGCATAAAAAAACACAAATAAACCCAATATATAATCTACATGTATATTAATTAACAGTACTATTTGGGCATGAATATAACCAGTACTGAATACAATCCAAGAATTTTCAGTTAAGAAAACATGACCTACTCTTTCCAAAAATAAAAAAAACATTATTTGAACATGTACAGTGAAGTCTGGTATATACTGAAATGGCATGTTGTACTTGAGATCATTATATATACAAAGAACACAATCTCACAACCTCCTGTAGTCTACACTGCTGAGACGCATTCCTCTTAACAATATTGAATGTGTTGTTTTGGATATTCTCCGTGTCATAATCACAGAAAGACAGAAACTGCAGAGCAGTTATCCACTTCATACATGTAAATGGTAATAGTGGCCAAGAACTGTGTTACATGACCTTGAATTCCCTAACTATTTCAATGGAGGTAAGGTCAACTGATTTCCCTTAGTCATTTAAACTGCAAAATTTTGAATCAAATCAGCCTGAAGGATGCTTCAACCATTTTGATTATAACTTGTTGCCACTGCCCATCCTTGTGGGTGATCGCTAACCAGTTTTCACAATAAAATAGATTCACTGCTTAAGGTCACTTTCGTGGCTGCAAGGAAAATATATCACCCCCGAAGCTGTGCGATATAGTTATTGATTATACGTTCCAAACGGTTTGGTGCAAATAAAACAAATGGTAATTTCTCAGTCATTTAAATGCCATAGACACAACACTGGCAGACAATTGACAACCTGGAGGGCTATGTAAATGAATGATTGATAATCATTAATAAACTGATAATCATTATTGTATATAGGCAAACAACATACTGACTCGACTATATTTTTAAGTGAATTCAAAGGGCCAAGTTACTACTCAGAAATAAAGAATTAATTACAGAAATTTTTGATGCAAAATTCTTGAAGATAGAATCTTCTAACTAGGCCACATCTTTGGCAAGGAAGAAAGACAATATATACGTCATTGTTGTAGTAGTTTCTGGTAGTTAAAACCGCACAATGACGTGGATTGCACTTTTTGCTGTATACCTAAGACACTGAGCCAGTGTTAGAGGAAAGCTCATAAATGTATTGCTTTCAGAAAACCAAACCCTGGAAAAAGCAATTTCAACACCAAGAAGTACTAGCATCATTACTTTTCTATGGGCTACTCAGAGATTACACCTAAGCTCTCCAACAAAACATTCAAATACATTTTGTCAATTGTAGGTAAACAATGCAAGTCATGATAATTGAAAAACCTAGCCTGGGTCAAGGCACTTTTTGAAACCCTACAAACATAGCGATTTATGTTACCAAAATGTTTTTCGCGTAAACACAAGTACGGAGTTGTTAAGAAAGATTTCAGCTTTTGGATGCGCACTTGGAAATACAAGTCAAGGTAAATTTCCTGTTATATAAATTACCGGTACATGCAGCCATGGTAATCGCGACCAGCCTTCGCACATGTACACAATGCACTGATAACGCAGTTTTTGTAAAGTTCAGAACAACACGTAACATGCAGTTATCACCGCATAATGGAGGATCGGCACAGTACTACCGTACTAAAATAAATTTTTGCTCAATGTTAGTGCTCAAATGCTGCAGCGATCTCGAGGGAACGCAGGTTGAAGCTGCGCGCGAGTCAAAGCCACGAAGATCCACACTAAAAACAAAATTAATTATAAATTTATGACTAGACACAAGACGCACTGGAATTGTACTCTTAGAAAAAATCATTTAAAATCTTTCAATATATCCCAGTTTAAGTGCTTTAATAAGTCTTCAAATGCTTCATTCGGTTGCATTCGTGGAAGCCCAAAGTTTAATGCAAAGAGTAGAGAGAGCATTCTCTTCGAATTGGCGCTTACAAATGGGAGATCAGGAGGTACTACAAGCTCAGTGATTCATCCATTTCAACATCAGATCAAGCTTCTTAAAATTGCAAACATAAGTGATTTCAAATTCACCTTATCTGCCGTGACTTCCATCGCCTTCAAACCGTCCGAAGACATAATGTCCGCTGCACCCTTGCTCGATTTTACTCCGTTCCGTCTTCAGTAGCGATCGATGGACGCGCACAAAGGACGGTCTATACAAAACAAACTCTGCATGAATCACAAAACATTACGACGAAATAATAAACGTCTTTAATATAAACAATTTGTTCCTGAACAAGTAACCGGAATTGCAAATAATTCAGAAACAGCTGCGACTAAATTAGAAAGTTGAAAAAGTGCCTCTCCATCGCTCAGCACTAATATCACGCCAGGACTAGCACGCAGTTAAAACTGCGGTAGAAACTTGTTCTTACCTATCGAGATATGTTCATTCTGTGATATCACGGAAGAAATCTGTGGTCCAACCTGAATACAGCCCGTAGTTTTCGGATAGTTTCACGTCTTTTCCATGAACAAGCCACGAGAGTACCTTTCGCCGACCTTTTGCCAACCGGGCCGTATCACGAGCACTGTTTGGTCCAGCGGTTAAGCATATTTGCTAATGCGTAATTTTGACCTTCCGTAGTTGGCCTTTTGGAGGAGTTGGGTGGTGTAGGGGGCCGGGGGAAGGGTGTCGTGGAAACAGAAACTCAAAGTGTTTTTAAACTGAAAATTCTTGAGAATCCTCGTAATGGTAACTACAGTTGAAATATGAAAGGATAAGCTGAAAATAATATTCTTATTTGCTATCAACTTGTTTCAGACAAAACTTAGTAGCTACTTTGGCAATGTTATGATGAAATTCGTTTTCAGGAGGACAGCCGGCATGAAAAACTAACGTCAATTTGGTATTTACGATAACAAATGGTCAAATTGTCCACTCTCGCTCGTTGACGTATCGCATAAATTATAAATTCATATGTCTGTCCGCTTATTGACAATGAAAACTAGCCAATGAGCGCGCGAGAATTTCTGCAGTTATCGTAAAAAGAGTATTATTTAGCAAATAAAGAAGCCTAGGCAGTGTATTGCACTGTGATAAAACACGACGGGTATTTGAGAACATGAGGGAAATGTAGAAAACACGAGCCGCAGGCGGGTGTTTTCTACATTTCTCGAGTGTTCTCAAATATCCGTCGTGTTTTATCACAGTGAAATACGCGGCTTAGGCCTCTTCATTTGCTTTATCAAATAGAGGTAATGTGGCGAAAAAGCAATAAAACATGCTTTTTCTATGTTTTACTTAACAAATAAAGAAGTCTAATATAAGTCGTGTATTACACTGCGATAAAACACGACGGGCATTTGAGAACATGAGGGAAATGTAGAAAACAAGAGCCGCAGGCGAGTGTTTTCCTACATTTCTCGGGTGTTCTCAAATGTCGGGAGTGTTTTATCACAGTGTAATACACGGCTTAGGCTTCTTCATTTACTTTATGATATAGAGGTAAATGTGGCGAAAAACAAAAATACACGCTTTTTCTTTGTTTTATACTCAAATA